GGGGGCAGCGCCGCCGCGGGCCGGCCCGCGCGCCGCGCGCACGGCGCCTCGTCAGCGAGCGCGGGGCGGGCGCTCAGGGCGGCCCCGGCTGAGGGGCGGGCTGGGCGGGAGGAGGTGTTTTCCCTCCGCTTCCGCGGCTCCGTCGGTCTTTTCTCCACTAGAAAGAGCAGCAAAGACTAACTGGGAGTTGTGGTGGCCCCAGAGAGAAGATCTGATCAGAACGAGGATTGAGAGAGAGAGCGCAAAAACACAACTTCACAGCTCTCTTCCTCATTTTTCATCTAAAGGTGAATATCTGCAGGACAGGCAAGGCTCTGGCCCACATGCTTCAGGAGGTGGCAGGTTTCAGGACTAGAGCAGCCAGCAGTAGATTCCAGCACAGCAAGTTCTGTGTTCCTTTGATTCTGAGATCGGGTGCAAAGGGCCAACCACCAATCAGTTTTTGAAAAGGAAAACAGAAACAAAAAGGAATTGAAGCAATCTGTTTCTTTTAAAGATAAAGGTGAGGTGGCACAAATGTCATCCAGTTTTCTGAGCATCTCTTTGTTGCCTGTGTTACACTCACAGGTCAAATGCAGCACGAAGACAATGAGAATATCCGGCTGGCTGTGCCACAAATACTGTCTGCTTAGAGCTTTCTTAGAGCTAAAAGAAAATTCAGTAAATTTTGGAGTTGAATGCTTCATCCTCTTCCCTCACAAGCTTGTGGAGGTGACAGATGTTTCCTTGGGGCCTGTTATTTTAGACACCTCCATGATTTATATATCTCTGGAAGCCTGATGTGTGGAATTGGATGTCACAGACAAGCTGAAAATAACTTCTTTGTGCTCGTATATACAGACTCTGGTATCTATTGGCCCATGTGGAAAAATTCCAAATTGAATCATGTTATCTGTGCCTGGCAGATGCACTGAGATGTACAGATGGAGCAATGATGAGTTAAAGTGAAGTGGAAATGTTTCGTGGAGAGCACTGGCAAGAACTCTGCAGTAACATTGTGCACAGCAGAACCACCATGGCATAGCCCTCATGATTGTTTTGGTAAGATACAGAGTAGCATACAGAGGAAAAATTCGTATTTAGAACAATATGCAGTTCCCTGTGGGATCATGACATAGAACTGGACAGACTACCTTTGGGCCTCTGTGTGAGAGGTTCAGGAAGATACCTGGACTGGTGGTTGTGGAGCTGCTCTTGGATGTGCCTGGACTAAGGTCCAAGGCCTTCAAACTGCTTCAGGGTCCTTCTCGCTACACGCAGTACCTGGTAGGGAAATTCTGCTGTGGGACCTTGGAGTCTCAATCCGTTAATGCCTGATCAGGTATTTTGGGATAGTCTGGTGGAAGAGGCAGACAAATAAATGCGCTACATCCGCACATGCCCAGCACTCCAAAAATATGTCAGGCCACACTGTGTGTGGCACATAGGCAGGTATTGGGCTGCCTGTGAAGCACAGCATCAAGGTTAAGATGTAAGGGAACGTTCTCAGGTGAACTTCTCAAAAGCTGAGTTCATTGCTTCTCGCCTCTAAGTTTTCCCCAAGTGCAGCCTGGCTTCCTTGGGGTACAGCTCAGGACCAGCATTCTCTGGGAGATGATAATATTTTCCAAGGCTGAACCATTCATCCATGCCAGCCTCCAGAGGATATGGAGAAGCTGTGTAGAAAGGGCCTGGGCACATTTGTCCACACCCTGTAGCCCGCAGTAGGACATTCACAGCCTGCCAAGGTAAACTGCGTGAGCGGTATGGCTGATTCACAGCCAGGGCTCTGCTGCAAAAGCAGTGAGTGAAGAGTGGCAGAACTTTAACTCCTTATGAGGAGATGAAGACAGAATTCGCAGCAGAGGACCCAAACTCCTGGCAGGTATGCCCACTTCCAGGGAGCATATATCTCAAAGGGTTTCTGCTGTACCACATCATCTCTGCATTTAGAGCCTTTTTTGTTTTGTTCTTTTGTTGGGTTTTTTTTTCTTCTTAAAAATCACATTCAGGCATTTGTTTCCACTTACCTGATCACTTCTCAAACACTGGGCTTAACCTCACTGCTGTCTCTAGTCCCCTTTGATCACCAATATGCGATGCCTCATCTTCTGGAGCCTAACCCAGTCCTTTCACCAAGAATTGTTCAGCCTGCCTATTTAATTCATCAGGGATTATATGGTATCAGCATGTGCTCCTTTCCCGTTTGTTAAGGCCTCGTGACCTCCACTTTTCCCTTGCAACTTCCAACCTCCCTGTCCCCATGGTTGTTTGCTGTTCCTTTTCCTTCTTTTGAGTCTCTCCGCCATGAAGTGTCCCACAAAGTGATGCTTTTGGATGTATGGTGGAGGGGACATTAATTCTGCTCTCAGAGGCCTCTCTAGAAAAAACATATTCTTTAAACACCCACAAGACAGAAGGGTTTCATTTTTGAGCTGATGAACAAATAATTTGTCCGCAGTCAAAATACTTGTGGTGATAATGATGCTGTGCCTATCACTTTCCTGCTTACAGATACCTCAGTCCAGCAATGTCCCCTGTTGTATCCCAGTATAAGACTTTTGGAGCCCACTTTTGCAGGAGGAAAATGCTGCATCTTTGAAAAATGTGGGTGAAATTTTAAGTGGCACAGCAGGAGTAGAACCCAAGGTCTTCTGCTGGTTCACTCTTACATGGCACATTTTGGACCTCTCTGTCCAAAACTTTGGATGATGTAAGTGGGATAAGTGGTATAAAATTGGCATTCTCTCTTGGAGGATGTTAGGTCTGTTTGCTCTTGCAATGTCCTGATGTGTGTGAGGCCGTACAGGAGTGTGGTAGCAGCTCCTCTAATCTTCATCCTATCACTGTAGTGGAAAAAATAACATAGAAATATCATGTAATTGTTTATAAAGAAATTGTGGGTTGTTTTTTTTTTTTTTTAAAGGCCTCCCAGTTCTCTTATACTAGTTGCAGTCCAGGAAACTTTGTGTTTATTAAGCACTGTGTAAATTTGCAGCTCTCTATAAATGTAAAATCAATAGCAATGATAACAGCAGCAAAGTGCTCAATCCAGCCCTGGTAATAACCCAAGAGTGCTAATTTCTTGATAAGGTCACTTGTTTCACACAGGCACCTCCTCTCCATGTGAAAACACAGGGTGCAGCACAGAAGATATTTGTGTTCCCTGACAAGAAAGGAAACACTGAAAACATGTAATTTCCAGCAGGTGACAATGACAGGCAACAACCTGAAGGGCTCTTAAAATCTATTGTGGAGGCTTTAGCCCCTCCACTGAGCACTTCAAACACATGTTTTCTTCTAGGAAACCAAAATGTTACAATCATCTCCTTTTTAATCTCTTCTCACAAGCAGACGAGAAAGGGGAATCTGCAGTAACCTGATGGAGTGAGGTTTCTGGAGAATGAACAGAGCAACAAAACAATAGCTTGGTGTTGCTGACCCCTCTGAACTGTGGTCTCCATCAGTGATGCCACCACTGGTAGCCTGGGCAGTTTCTGGGGTTCACAGCAGAGGTCACTGAGTGTGTGTATGGACCACGCTTCCATCTGTCCCCAGGTGTCCTGGAGCTCTAATGGCAGATCTGCCTGCTCTGACTACCCCCTTCCTGTCCAAACAGGCAGCTGGAAGGGCTTTGGGCTTTTTACAGCTGAAGGTTTACCACCAATGGCAATAACTAAGTCTCTACCATTTAAAAACAGCTTGTATACCCCAAATGGCTGATTGTTCCCTCTACCCTCCACTGTGGTGATTTCCTTAAGGGTGGAACTGCAGCAAACAGCTCTGGTTGGCTCCATGCAGCCTGCTCCTCTTCCACCAGGTCCCCTTTAAACCTGATTTAGGGTTCCCAGATGGCTCAGTGCCATCCGACCGGCCTCTGTCATGACCTCCCTAGGGAGTTCTCTGGTAGACTTGAGACCTCAGGAGTAATCCCTTCCCTCTTCCTTGCCCACCTCTGTCAGTGAGCCTGGCCTCATCTTGCTCTGTGGCAGATCCACGGTCACTTTGGGGCTTTTTCTTTGCCATGCTGCTGCAGTAGATCCAACCTGTCTGTACATCAGTTCCCTTCTGTTTTCTTCCTTGACCTCTGCCTGCTAACATGTCCTTAGGTCCAGTGACCTTCGGCATGGGAAGAAACCTCCTTAAGCCCCTATCCCAAAAGTGGCAACTCCTGCTATAAAATAGTAATCATACAGTAATAATCACCAGAGGGTTGGCAGGGACTTCAGGAAGTCTCTGAAGGCATCCCCCCTCTCCGAGGTGGAGTCCCCCAGGAGCAGTGCCTGGCGTGGGCATGAAATACCCCTAGCGATCAGGATACCACAGCCTCCCCAGCAGCCCCCTGCGGCCCGGGAGACCTTCCTGGGAAAAAAGCACTTTCTTGAGCACAGCCCAAATCCTTCCTCCCGCAAATTGGGCTGATTATTACTTGTACTTTTTCTGGTGGACCTGGAGAAGAAGCGATCGCCATCTGCTTTATAGAATCTTTTATATAATAACAAAACAGCCTTTAGAGTAACCGAGAAAGAGGCGTTTGCTCACTTGCAAAGTCAGGAAATTCCCTGCCAATGGACATTCTTTGTCGGGGATCCTTTGCCAGCATAGGCTGAGCACTAAGCTCCACAATCTGCATTTTCCTTTTGAATGACTCCCACAAAATAAACCAAATATCACATCCAAGGAGATTTATTACATCCCTTTCAAGGGTGAAGCATTCCTCAGCTACATTCCACTTCTGTCTTTTGTACTTAGGAAAGGGGAAAAAAATTGCTGTGATGCCTCTGGATCCCACCCCTCCAGGGCTTCTGTTGTTAATAAAGCCAAGCAGCTGGAGCCAGATTTGTCAGACTAGTCCTGAGTGGCTGGCTTGCTCCTGCTGCAAGAGCAGCACCATCAGAGCAGCTCTAGAATTCCTGCCTCTGCTAGAAGACTAATAACTCGTGGCACCACGTTTCCTCAGTAAAAACACCTTTTGTTGTTCCCAATGACACCCTATCCCTGTGGCAGCAGCTTGCCAGAGTGGATCTTCTCACTTCCTAGCTGCTCTGGCTTCTCCTGCCTCTGCATGATGCAAGAGTTTGCAATGCTTTTTGGGAGCTCAGATGTGCTCTCAGACACTCTGCTTGCAGCAATTGCTCTCTCCAGGCTTTGCACTGAAGCTTTTATCCAGATGTGTAACGGAGGATGTGTATAGAGGCAGGGCAAGAGGGGGAAACCTCTGTTGTGTTATCTGAGCTTAATTAAGCCTCTCCCTAGGCTGTTGCTAATTGATTGACTCCAGGACTATAAGAGGGAGCAAATTTGCCAGAGCTCATTAAAAATAGCAGAGTTTAGAATTTGAATTTTTTTATTATATAGGTGAATAACTTTGACTAATGTCTTGCTGAATGATACCAGGGAAACAAACTCTATTCAGCAAATGTTGGTAGATGGATTTAGCTTTTTAAACCCAATGAGAGAAGTGGTGAGTTCTCAGATGCCTGTTCATCATCACTGTGTCCCTTGAGAGCATTTATAGGTATCACTTAACTGGAGCTCTGATACTGCTTTCTGCCCCAGCCATGGCTGTGCTAACCAGCCTGTCATCTCTTCCAGCAGGTATCAAGTCCATTTCAGTTTCACAGGCTTCAAAACGTTTCACAAAATTGACAAAAAAAACCCTCACCAAACCAAGAATCAGTTCACTCACTGTAAAATGCAACCACTACAGGCATGGGTGAGGCCAGCTGTGCAACAGCCCCAACATAAAGGTGTAGTAAATGGAGAGGGGGAAAAGATGCTGTGCCCAAGGGGAGATGCAGGAAGAACAAAGGGAAGAGGACTATCCCCTGCCAAACAGGTAGAAAACTGACTTTACCAAAAATGCTGAGATCGTTTCTTGTCTCATGATGTTTAGATGTCTTAAGCAATCAAACTCCCTCAGAGCCGGGTCTCAGGTTCGCTCACCCGAGTGACAGATGCCTTCTTCTCAAATACCTGCAGCTCGGGGCACCGTTTGCAAGCCTCTTCTGCAAGTACTACTCCTGGCTTTTTGTTGGTGAGGTTTGACATGATGGAAGCCCATCCTGTCAGGACTGAGACACAGCCAGCGTGCGGAAAAGGCTACAGAAGATAAGGTATGTGGAACAGTGTGGAAGTGATATGCACGCCTGAAGAAGGAGACCATTATGAGCACAAGGTGGCTGGAAGAGCTGTCACTGCCTGGGTGGCAGCAGGCTATTAGAAGGTCAGCTTTCACAACCATCTCAGCAAATGCTCCTTGTGTCCCTTGGAGCCAATTCGCTGTGGCTCCAGTCAGCTTTGAAACCATTTCAGCTGGGCTTTAAAGCAATTTAGAATGTGGAGGGGAAGCTGTACTGTCTAGCAAACTTAAAAAGTAGTGTACACACCCTGGGTGTGAGATGTTATAGTAGATTCGAAGTTCCACCTATCAGCCTGTGAGTTGCTTCCCTTTTTTCCCTTGCAAGGACAGACCGGTGTCCTATTTCCTCTGACTCTTCATCCTCAAAGAAGATGTTCGTCTCTCCTGAAGAGTTTTCTGTGCATTGTATGAAGGTTTTCAGATGGAATTGTCAGCTAAGCAGCAATATGGACAGATGACACCTGTCCTTACGTGTGTTTCACTGTGAACACATCTCTACAGTTGTGATTGCCTATCCGTGTTCTAGGTCTGTTCACATTTAGGCCCTTCAGAGCCCTTCTGAGTTGCTTTTCTGTTCTCTTCTGTTTAGAAAATATTCAGCGTCAGTGAGTGTTTACAGGAAAGTCCCAAGTTTCACACCAGGTTTGAAGGATGCTGGTTTTTCTGGGTCTCTGGGTTTAGGTAGTGGCTGCAAGAATAAGTCCCTAGGTGTAGCTACAAGGAAGAGGGACTGCCAGTGTCTCTGTGGTGAAATGACATTTGTTGATAATGAGAACTGATCTTCCAGAAGAAGATGCTGCTGAGGAATGAGAGGAAACCAAGTGTCTCCTCCCCAGAGCACATGGCCTTCCCTCTCCTGAGCACACTTGTGACCCTCACAACTGTCTCCCCTACTGTTTGCTCTGTCTGCTTCTTTCTCTTTCTTCTTCTCCTCTCTCCCCAACCACACCCACTATTTAACCATTTAGATATAAAAATAAAAAATAAGAAAACCACCCAACCCACTAGACAGAGGGTTTACTAAAGAAGGGTAATTTTAAAAGCAAGTCTCTGAGGTCAGCGTGTAATTGTACCATTGGGACTATGTGATCTGAGACAAAAATAATCCACTGGGTATCTGGTCAAGAAGGAGAGGATGGCAGAAGTGAGGGAAGAGTGGCTTACATGGGATTGACCAGGCAGCAAAAGACCAGGCAAAACTACTTGCTGGCACCAGGACTAATATTTCTGTAGCATACTGCAAGATATTCTGTGCTGGGATCATCAGAGCTGCTGTTCAGGTCACAGCCTCCACTGGTCTGTGCCAGGCAGGCACTGGGTACTTCCTGGAAATTTAATGGTCTTCCGCAGAAGTACAGATAAGATTTGATGTATATTTATATATTAACCTGCTCATGAGGAACATTTCTGGTTTGGTCTGGAGTTTAGGGTGCTGATGTTTTTTAACAGTTCTCCATTTTCAAACCTCTGCTTCAGGTACTTTATGTCTTCTCCAAAGGGTTCATGGGAATGTAAGTCATGCCCTTCCTTTCTGTGGAATAACAGAGGATGTTTTCACCCCTATAAACATCAGTTCCTTTGTTTGCAGTTCCTTCTCGGTTAAAAGTGACAGCAGTAAGTTATGTAGGCCATTCACATAATGTATTTCACCAGTATTTCCTCTGGTGAGTTTTAAATGAAGAAGTGAGCCTGGTAAATACCCGAATATCGCTGCTGTCTGCTAGCTTGAGAGTACAGTACAGGGGCTAGGAGGACTACACCACAGTGCTTTGTTTTGTTTATCATTCTGGCAGAGACAGTGGCAGCCCCCATCACGTGGAAATAATGATGCTAATTGTCATACTGGGGGAAAGCACCAACTGTTTGCAGAGGACCATGATTTTCCTGGCTCCAGATGTGGCTTGGTGACACCAAGCAGACTTTCATCTCTGTTATTCCTAAGACTGAGTTACTTTCACAATATCCCAGATAAAAGCACCATAAAAATGAGTTTTACTGTGGAAGAAGTTAAGTGTAAGAGGAGGGAGGACTCCTGTACATTGACACCAATGGCTGGTGGTATAGAGCTGTACCTGAATTGATGCCACTTGTGTTTCAACTCCAAGATTTCCCCAGCCATCAACTCTTCAATGTTTCGCCACAGTCCAGTATTTTCCCTTCTCAAACCACTGTCTGTGCACAAAAGGATTTATTTTTAATCAGAGGCCAGTGCTGGTTGCAGGGGTCTTTACTTTGTGACCTTCAATTCTTTTTCTAGGAGGAGATAGTGGGTTTCAGTACCTTTTTGCTGTGGCTGTTTGTGGGTCAGCCCTTCCCAGAACAGATGCCACTGATTCAGGAGGGCTTGCTGTCTCCCCTTTATTTAAGTGCTGGTTACACAGCTCTGCCAGGATCCATTGCAGTCATAAACCACACTCAAGGGATGAGCAATTTAGGGTTTGGAGTCATGGTAAACCAGCCCTGGAGACTTCATGCAATTGTTTTTCATCCCTCTTACACCCACAGTTCTGCTAGATTAGAGTTACTACACAACCCAGAGACTTTCTGACTTGAATTTGAGTTGGGAAAGACACACAAAACAAAGGAATTTGTGTTGTAAATTAGATTTCTCAGATTTCAGTGATTTGTCATGGAAATGTGGCTCAATAAATGCAGTCCTAAAAACATTTCACAAGTTCAAATTCTTCTGACGCTATTAACTTCCTCAATGTGGCAGGTACAGTGATTGTAGGAGGTAAGGTTAATTTTAAATCATCTGTGGTATGACTTGGGACACAGGGAAACATTAAACCTACAAAATGAGTATTAACTTAGAAACCCTTCCCTGATCTTAGAGATCTATGTGAGAAGACGGTATTCTAGGCTTAAATTGTTTTCTGTCCCTTCATGCCCCAGCACAAGTCCAACAGTTTATATGCTGCCTCTTGGTGCAGCTCAGGTCAGTGGAACAGCACCCAAATACTTTTCTATGTCCATTGTGATCACCCACAATCCAAACCAAAAACTGTAATTCAGAGCTCAGTCAATCGGTGTGATCTAAAAATAACAGGATTGAAACCAGTAAATGATGGTTTCTTAGGTTTGCCTGCCTGTGTTGGAGCCAGGGGCTTGTATTCTCAGCCAGTTCCCTGCAACCATCAGAAGTCACCTAAGAAAAGAGCAGGGGAGGTGAGAGTTCATTCACATTCCCAGGACTTCAGGTGCTCAGGCTTTGAGAAAATTGCTAAATGTCCTGAGATACCTGGAGAGAGAAAGATCTGGCAACACTGTTAGCCCTGTTTGCCACACAAACCAGAACCTCTAATTTCTCTTATATATCTTTTCCTAGAAAAACTGGCTGCTTGCGGCTTGGATGAGTGGACTCTTCGATGGGTAAAAAACTGGATGAATGGCCGGGCCCAGAGAGTTGTGGTGAGTGGAGTCAAACCCAGTTGGCAGCTGGTCACTAGCAGTGTTCCTCAGGACTCAGTTTTGGGACCAGTCCTGTTTAACACATTTATTGATGACCTGGGTGTGGGAATCAAGTGCACCCTCAGTAAATTTGCAGATGACACTAAGTTGGGTGGGAGTGTTGATCTGCTCGAGAGTAAGAAGGCTCTACAGAGAGACCTGGACAGTTTCAATCAATGGGTGATTGACAATTGCATGACGTTCAATAAGGCAAAGTGCCAGGTTCTGCACTTGGGTCACAACAACCCCGGGCAGCACTACAGGCTTGAGGAGTGGCTGGAGAGCTGGCCAGCAGTAAAGGACTTGGGGGTGCTGTTTGACAGGTGGCTAAATATGAGCCAGCAGTGTGCCCAGGTGGCCAGGAAGATCAATGGTATCTTGGCCTGTATCAGAAATAGTGTGGCCAGCAGGACTAGGGAAGTGACCATCCCCCTGTGTTCAGCACTGGTGAGGCTGCACCTTGAGTACAGTGTTCAGTTCTGGGCCCCTAACTTTAAAAAGGATATTGAGGTGCTGGAGTGTGTCCAGCAAAGGGCAACAAGGCTCGTGAAAGGCCTAGAAAACCTGTCTTATGAGGAACAGATGAGGGAGCTGGGTTTGTTTAGTCTCAAGAAGAGGCTTTGGGGTACCTCATGACTCTCTACAACTACCTGAAAGGAGGCTGTAGTGAGGTGGGGGCCTGTCTCATCAACTGTACCCACAGTGAGAGGACCAGATGAAATGGCCTTAAGCTGAGACAGGGGAGATTCAGATTAGATATTAGAAAAAAAAATTTTCACTTTTAGGGTGATCAGGCACCTATTGGAATAGATTGCCCAGGGAGGTGGTGGAATCACCATGCCTGGAGGTATTGAAGAGGTGTCTGGGTCTGGCGCTGGGTGATGTGGTTTAGCAGTTTAAGGTTACAGTGATAGTGCTGGGTTGGCAGTTGGAGTTGATGATCTTAAAGGTCTCTTCCAACCTTGATGATTCTATGATTCTGTGATCAGTGGACATTAGAGATGCACAGGTGCAGTTCTGCAAGGCAGGGAGTTCTTGAGCACTTCAAAGAGCCTCTTCCTTAGTGCTGCTGCCTTTGGCCACGTTTCACACTTCACGTTTTGGGCTGCTGCTATAATCAAGCTCTTAATTAATCAAAAGCTCTACAGGACACAATAGCACCTGCTCAGCATGCCAAGGAGACACAGGTATTCTGGGACAGAGGAGTCAGGGACCCTACTGCCTTGCCTTGCCTTGGCTAATCTGTTTACCCCACAGTCAGCTGCAGAAACCACATCTCTCTCCATCTCTTATTTCCTTGCTGGGCATCTCTAGCAAGCATGAGGGATTTGCTCAGTGGGGCTTCCAGAAGGCAGCTGATAATTTTTATCTCTTTATTTCACATCTCAATCTGTGTATGAAGAGCATGCCACACTTGGCAGCAGCTGTATGAGACTTGTTGATTCAGGAAGTCCTTCTCCTCCTTTTTGCAAGTTGAAAAAACCACACTAGGGACTTTTCAGCCTGGAAATGCTGGTCAAGCAAGGAGCTCTGCAAACTCCACTTAGCAGGGCTTCCCCCAAAGTGGTTGTTGATCAGTAAGAGGGCAGCTGGCTGGCTCAGGTAAACTCCCCTGAGGCTGGGAGAGCAGCGAGGCCAGCTCCCAAGAGCAGTTCTACTCCACTACTCCAAGTGGAGTAGACAGTGCCAGCCTCACCCTGCCTCCCTGCAGCCAGCACCAGCCCCGTGCAGGGGAGTTTGCTGCCGAGAGTGACAATTCTGCATGTGCCTGACAGCATCTGTTGCCATGGCAATGCATATTTGAGCCTGAGCCGAGCTGCATCTTTCCTGAAGTTGTGAATTGAGCTTAGCTTTATTTATTTAAAACCAGTGATAGAAAGAGAAGAGACACATTACAAATCCCCTTGCGCAGGCCGTAGCCAAATGAGTCAGAGGCACTGCAGGCTTTAATCAGCCCACCTGACGTCAAACCTCTCCATCAGAGGAAAGCGCCGCCTGGAAATGTCAACATGCCCAAATGGAAAGGCCAGAAGGTAAATCTTTTCCTGTGCTCACTCACCAAGTAGGAAAGAACAATTAAAATTCAGCCAGTTCCCTAAACACATCTTAATAGCAATCTGATTGAATGTTTTTCTCCGCCTGGTCCTTTCCTATCCCTACTGGTAGCTGCCTGGGGTCAAGGCCTATTGGTTTGAAGTATCTTTCTAATGTAGCATCAAACCCCAGATCCTGCAAGAACAAGGTGTTACCACCAGCATCAAAAAAGGGCTCTGCAGGAAAACTTTGTCACTGAGCTCTCCTACAAACACTCAGCTAACCATGCCACGATAGTGGTTTCCAGTTTCACACATGTGAATGCCCAGGGGCAAAAAGAGCAACTTAGTTTGGACCTATGTCACTTGCCAACCAAAAGTTGGGATGAGGAAAAAAGCAACAGAAATGAGACAATTTTTTTTCCCAGAGGTGTCAGCCACCTGTGGGTGGGTCATTGCCAACCCTGATAGGTGCACCACAGCAACAGGAAATGGTCATGGCAGATGCATGACCTACTGGGAAGAAAAACGCTCCTGAACCTTTTTAAGAGAACTCAAACTTTGTGCCCCTGTGATACAGACAAGGTGAGAAGGAGTCCCTGGCTTTGAATACAAAAATCCTGTTCTTGAGTGTATATCTTAAGTTAGGTGTGCAAAGGGGAGAGGCGTCAGCCGAGAACACGTATAGCTTATCTGCCCCTTTGAGGAACATCAAGCTAGGAAACCTAGAGACACCATCCATTCCCAGCCCACTGGTGTCTGCCAGGGGTAACAAAAGGACACATGCAAGCATCAGGGAAAACAAGCACACAGAGAAGGAGAAAGGAAGGAAGAATATAAATGCAAACCACACTGCTTAAAAGCAGGGCGGCATTCCAGTTCCTCCAAAGTGCTCCCCACACCCAGCACTGTACAGCAGCCAACCTGGTGGGCTTCTGATCTTCCCAAATCACTTAACACTTCTCCCTCTTTTATTTTTGTCCTAAATGTGTTTTGCTTTGGTGGCTGATCCTGGCAAGGTGCCTGAGACATTACACTGGGGTTGGTTTCTCTAGGATATATCTATAATGAAGGTTTCCTCCACCATGTTTCTCTTTTCCCTGTAGTGAAAGTCTGTAATTACCACTGAGGGGTGAGGCAGACGGCACTGAAACAATGTCATTTGAACGGGGGTGAGACATGCCTGAATTCTGGGTTGTGCTTTTCTCTTTGCAGGACTGCTTGTGGATCCAGACCTTGCTTTTAACCCTTGACAGTTCAGGGTATGTTGTCCCCTTATTCCCCTGACTGGCCTGTGTGCCCAGATCTGCTTGGTTCTGACCAAGGCAGATTCTGTTGGATGTAGCCAAGATGTGAGTGTCCAGCTTCTTCACCATGCTTGAGGGATCAAGTGGCACAAATCTGCAGAGAGTGCCCTGTAGTCATCATGTGGGTAACTGGGGGTTTGGAGTTGACTCCATATGGCACATACAGTGTGTCAGAGCAAAGCTTTTGCCATCTCCTTGCCCCAGCTCATCCGGTTCTGTTCCAGCAGCTCTTCAGCTTCCTCCAGTACCAAAGCTATCTGCTTCCCACTCCTTGATGCAAGGTACCTTCTTGGGGTGAAAGTCAGTCAAACAGTGTGCAGTTCTACTCTTCATGCTTCCTAGGGAAAGGTTTGAGTGGTAGAAAATGGATAAGAGAAATGAGACAATACAGCCCCCTCAGAATGACTGTTCAGGTTGTCTCCAGCCCTGTGAAGGCTGCCTAGCTCTCTTTTGGAAGTAGAGTAAATAAAAAGTGGTCCATGGGAAGAAGAGGAAGCCACCCTCCTCTGCTGTCCTGCAGCTTCCCATTCACCTGAGTTTCCTGAAGGGGAGTAATTTGCAGTGTCTTCAAATGCTAAGAAACTGCCCTCATACTGAAGTTACAATTCCCTCAGTCACCCTGAAAGGTATCTGATTCTCCAGGGAGATTGCCAGTCTGTACTCTTTCTGAAGTGTAGAGCAGTGAGGGGAGACTGTGTGTGACAAGGCAAAGAGCCATTCTTACTCTGCCATGAAGAAGTGAAGGAGTTACAAAGAGATTTTTCCCCCTGTATCAGTTACTTTCAAAGTGGTGAGTTTTCAGGTCTCATCTTTGGTTATGGTACTGTATCCATTTACTGGTTTGGGGCTTTGCTTTCCGACATAGCTAATCCTGCCACAGGCAGCTCAGCCACATTCCCAGGAGACTAAAGGGGTTCCACAGAGGAATTTTGGTAGGATCTGGTGTCTTGTATTCAAGGCTTTCCTTTCCCTAGGTCTTGCATTCCCCCCTTACCTGCCTGTCACTCACTCCTTGTTTGCAAGGCTGATTTAGATCTATTCAAGGGCCCCCAGTTCACCCCAGAAAGAATAATAATTGCAGTGCTGAGCTCTGCAGCCTCCCTTTCATTCCCCTCATAGCATTAGGGTGCTCACTGAAACCATAGCATTCATGGATCCTTGCCATATGCAAACGTGCAATTAATATGCTTTTCACTTTCCCCTCCACTTCCCAGGCAAGATAAGGGGGGAAAGCACAAGTTGTGGTACATATTTCCTTATCACATGGACACATGTGTGTCTGCACTTCTCTGCAGTGCTCCAGCATGGCTCGCACCTACCTGTGCTTGGTGGTCACTGAAGAAATGTGTCTGCTTCCAGGCAGACATTTAATTTGGTGTTCTGTGTAGCTGCCCACAAAGCAACAGGCAGAATACAATTCAGTCCCTCTTTCAGCTGTGGCTGCAGACTTATGAACACTCTGGTTTCACAGATTTTAGCAGGGAGCTGGAACAGGTGTGATTTCCATGCTGGGTTCCCTCTCTGTCCCACTGCTGCTTACTGGTGGTGGGAGCAGGTGTGCTGGGTACCTCCCTGGGAGAGCACACAGGAGGAGGAAGGAAAGCAGCTGAAGGTGACTGGA